TTACCAGCAGAAAACTCTCCACTTACCTCTTAATTTGTGGGGTTTTTACGTGCTCGGCCTAGGCCAGTACTTAGAGGCATTATTTTCCATCTTCCTACCTTTTCTTCCATTCTTTCAGTAAATGTTCACCTGCTACAGCTTTGTTTCTAATTCAGCCTGCAACAAATTAAACAGCAAATTAGTGTGGTCTTCATTTATGAGGTCTGGGAAACTCTCTGGAAAAACAGCAGGTCCTACTTATTCTGAGAGCATGGAAAAGCTAACCAACATATTCTATTTGCACGTGTTATTTATAAACGAATGGAAATGGGTTTAGAAATCAGCAGTCTGCAAGTTTATCTATTTTTATCAGCTAACGAGAATGGTATCGCCACAGGTTAGGCCACAGACAGTCCTCTGTCCCAGTGTCCGAGGACACGGATGTTTTTGCGGGTACTTGGTCAGATTAGGGAAGACTGAGCTTTCTGTCTGTTGTGCTAAGGACTCAGGCCTTCAACTCTGGGCTCATCACCTTCAGGACAGAGGTGATAATACTAAGTAGGCTTCAAATACAGGAAATTTGTCCATTTACTAAACTCGTATCAAAAAGGGAGACTCTGTTTAGCTGGAGACAAGCTGGCTTTGCATTTTTGTTTAACCTGTTCCTGACATTAACGGAAAAGCTTTTAGCATTTCCCTGTTAATCATGAATCTGTTTCCTCTCAACATCTTTCCACCCTTTATTCTGAAATAATTACAAATTCACAAGAGGCTGCAAAAAGAACAGATTCCTCTGTAACTTGCACCCATTTCCCCCCAGAGGCTACTGCTTACAGAACCAACAGCAGGAAACTGACATTAATTAGTATCATACTATTTAAAAAAAAAAATTTTTTTTTTCAACGTTTATTTATTTTTGGGACAGAGAGAGACAGAGCATGAACGGGGAAGGGGCAGAGAGAGAGGGAGATACAGAATCGGAAACAGGCTCCAGGCTCCGAGCCATCAGCCCAGAGCCCGACACGGGGCTCGAACTCACGGAGCGCGAGATCGTGACCTGGCTGAAGTCGGACGCTTAACCGACTGCGCCACCCAGGCGCCCCATTATCATACTATTAAGTCAGTCCTTCTGCCAGTTTGCCCAGTTTTCATGTATGTTTAGATGTGTGGAATCCAACTTAAGCACATCAGCAGGTAGGTTTGTGCAGTCACTGCCACCATCAAGATACGGAGCTATTTCACCCCCACCAAGGAAATCCCTCCTCCTATCTCTTTATACTTAGCTGGCTTTGAAAGTACAGTCACTTGGCCAGGTTTCTTGTTAAATTTTCATTCAAGTGTAACGTGCATGCAAAGAAAAGCGTATGTAAGTGAACTTGCTGAATCTTCACAAATGGGGACACCTTGTGACTGGGCACCAGAGAAAGAAATGGAGCACTGCCAGGCCCTGCCTGCAACCCTTTGGAATGACCAGTTTTTCAGGGAAGTCTTTGGACTACAGCTCTCTCTCTAGATGCCAGGAAACATTTCAATTTCCCCCAAGATCAAAAGGAAAACACTTCTGCTTTGGGAAAGCTTTAAAGTAAGAGTTTATGCTAAGTTTCAGGTGGGCTCAGACTTAGAGATTTTTTATTTTGTTTTGAATGTATTTGCAATAGTGGAAAGTCATCACTGTTGAGATTATAAAGATTTGACGCAAAGGGCAGTTTGGGTCTCTCAGTGAATGAATACAGAGCTCTCGCAGGACCGAGGGCGACCTTGGAGCCCTGAACCTAGTTTAGGTAACCACAGTAGTCCCATCCCCATTACAAGGCTCTTTACTTCAGCATTTTCCTGGTCCAAGTTGCTAATGGATTCATTTAAATGGCTTGGAAAGGAGGAAATGTGACGGATAAAAAGCTCCAAAAGTGGATGTATATTATACGATCCCATTTATATGAAACTCTCGGATATTCCAGCTAATCTGTAGTGACAGTGGATCGGCTTGCCTGGGGAGGGAGAAGTTACCAAGAGTCAGAGAAAATTTCATCTCAATCGTGGTGACGTTTTCCCGGTTGTACACACACCAACACTTACCAAGTTGTACTACGTGTTTGCAGTTATTATGAGTCCGCTATACCTCACGTACCATTTAAGTCAACGAAGCTTTGATGCCAAGACTTTTACCCCAACCCAGTGGCTGGCTCGCTCATAAGCAGCCCATGTAACAGGCAGGCACGGCTGTGAGGCTTTAGGGAACCGACAGGTGACACGCCACCGTTCCAGAGTTCACAGCTGGGAACGCGACCACGCGGGAGGTACACAGTCGGGGTACACAGAAAACACGCGGGTTCCGCGGTGGGGAGAAACCGGGTTGGGGACTAAGGCTTCGGTCCGCACACCTTCGCCAGCTTCAGGCCTCCTCCGGCAGGGAGCGCTCGGCCTTTAACGTCGGGGCAGAAGTGAGGGCCTCGCGCAGGACGAGAGGGCCCCCTGCGGGACGGGCCCTCCAGCGCCCCGAGAACCGGCAGGGAGCTCTTTGCAGGCTCACGAGGGACCAGCCGCCCCCCTCCCCCCGCGCAGGGTGCCCCGGGGAACTCACAGCGGGGGCGGGGGCAGAGCTGAGCTTGCGCAGTTCCTCCCGCGGGGGGGGGGGGGGGGGGTGTCTGCGGCTGCGCGCATTGTTCCGCGAAGGGCCTGGAAGTGGGTGTGTGAAGTTGGGGCGGGCTCCGGGGACCGCTCTCCGCCTTCTTCGGTCACAGACACCACTGGCCCCGTAATGCGGAGCTCACGTCCTCCTCCACGGACTGGAAGCCAGCGGCGAGGGTCTCGCTGGCCGGCTTCTCCATCGCAGCTGCCGGGGAGCGTTCCCTCCACTGGGGACGCGCAGCGCTCCCGCGCCCCGAACGCCGCCCTGCCGGGCCTCCGATGCACCTGCCGTCAGGGTCCCCCGTCGTGGAAGGGAGGCAGAGGAGGTCAGGCACAGACCAGGGGCGGCGGAAGCAACTTTGAAACCCAGAGCCGTGGCGCAGGTGTGACCGACCCAAGGCGAGAGACGAAGGAGGCGTCTGTCTTGTGTCCTTACCACCCGAAGGAATTCCTTTGCATCCCAGGAACAGATGGTCCGAAAAGGCCACTGAAAATTGCCCTCCTAACAGTTGAGGATGGGAGGTCTTTGGGTAGTGAGGGAGGTGGGAGGAAAGATGGGCTTTACAGCTTAAAATTTTCACATTCAGTTCCCGGATCTACCACTTTGGGGCTGTGGTCCTTCCAAGGTGGACTGTCAGTCAGGACCGGTTGGGAGTATACAACACACGCATTATGCACACACAGGTTTTAGCAAATGTGCGCTTCCTTTTTCACCCCTGCCCTCTCCCCCCACCTCCTATTTGGGCTTCATTCCCCGGTGCCAGAAATTTCTGGTCGTGCACAAAAGTATGCAACTCTGTTCACGAGGTTATGGCACACATTAACGAAGATAAAGATTGGCGTAAAAAACATCACAGCTTCCTTCCGACATCACAGGGTGTGGCTAGTAACACAGAAAGTGGAAGCATAAGGCAAAGAAATTATTTTTTCAAATAAAATTATAGTCTTAGAACTTTTTAGTTGTGCTGTTCCCCATAAAATACAGTAATTAAAAACAAGATGATCTCATGAGGATGACTATTACCAGAGAAAACAAAGGCATCTTGAAAGCTTAAATTTGTTTCAAAGACCCATGGGACCTTTTCTCACTTGTTGCCACCCTGATGGTTTAAACCTGGTGGTTTAATCATAGTTTTACAGAAACTTGTACATCAGGATATTATTTAGGTGCGTGCATTCACACCCAAGGCCATGACATTGGTGCTCTGTGCTGTGATGGATCTCACCTCTCTTCTAATCTTCCCAAAGAATGCCAAGGGCACCAGCCTCAAGAATATGGATGGAGAACAAGCACGAACCAACCAGCTTCACTCTAGTTCACTGCCCTGGGATGCTCTGCAGTTGGGGATGGCTTGAGGTTTTTTTTTTCCCATATATTTTAAAAGATTTATTTGGTAGAAAAAATAAACCACTTTTTCTAAATATACTTTGTAGACATAAATACATTTTTTAAACATATGAAGCGAATGTCTATATCGATCCATTATTATGGAAAGTATCTGTAGGGGCCAATTATCATAGCCATACCATCCTAATTAAGACTGACTGTATTTCAGAGTTTGGGAATATATACAAAGTTGCTGAGTCATTATCACTATCTATGGCCCTCCAAATGCATGGCCTATGTACACACTCAACAAATGTTCCATGAGTTAATCAACACTTTTATCATGTTTAATGGAAACTGGGGCTAAGAGAAGCTTCAGTGTTGTTTGTTTTTCTAGGAGAAAGAAAAGGCCAGGAATGTTAACATGCTACCTTCAACTTTCAACCTACTGGTCATTTCTCCCCACTCCCCTTTCTATCTCCTCTGGACCTCATAATATGATTCTTACTTAGCTCACAGATTTCTAGGACCTGCTGTCCACAGAGAACACAGAAAGCTTGCTACATAAAAGACAACCCACATCTCAGAGGAACCACTTTAATATAGACAGCCATCTGACTGTATGGGTCCTACCAGAGAAAGCATGTTCCGAACGTCGTCCTGAAAGGCCATCACAGCTCCTAAGAGAAATCAGCCCTCTTTAATTCGTGTTTAACTTTACCTAAGGGTCTGCAGATAGAAACAGGTGTTAATTTTTAACATGGGTAATATAAATACTGTGCCAGCTACAAAACACAAACTCTTTTAAGTATATACCTAGTATCTTACCCAACCTTTACCCCTATTAACAAGCATCTTTGTTAAAAGAGCAATGTTTCTGTTTTGTTTCGTGTCTCAAACACCCCAAGAAAACCAATCTTTTAAATTTAGGGGCACACATCCAGCCCAGTGTGAAAGGACACTGATGCACAATTCTAACAAGAGTTAGTTCTGTGTTTGAACTCCCACTGACTGGTCCTGGATTACAGCGTTCCTGTGCGGGGCCTTCGGGTTTACAACCGCTCCGTCATCTGTCCTCGGAGCCATAGCTGAAGGAAGCCCCATTTCTGATGGAACCATTCATAGAACCTTTTGGATCCCCTCTCTCCATCCGTTCTCAGCTGAAGATTGTGTCCCGATCACTGTCAAACTCAGACTCGGACACCATCAGGCTGGAATTGTGCTCCGTGCTTCGGTGTTTGATACCTGGGAGCAGCAGACAGACGCATCTTGGGGGAAACGGCCTTTCCATTCTCAGCTGTCATTCCGGCTGTAGGTCCCACGTACCCAGCTGTGCTCTCTGCACCTTCAGAGCGTCACTCACAACACAGCACGAGTTGGGGTTCCTAGTGAGCATTGACGTGGGCTGTGTCACACCTGAGCTTGAGCCCAAGCTGTGACACTTACCAGCTGCGTGATGCTGGACAAGATGCCTAACCTCTCCGGGCTTTCAGTCTCCTTCTCCATTAAAAACTGGGAGACCACAAAGCATCTACTCCACGGGTTGTTTTTTTTTTAATGTTTATTTACTTTTGAGACAGAGAGACACAGAGTATGAGCAAGGGAGGGGCAGAGAGAGAGGGAGACACATAATCTGAAACAGGATCCAGGCTCTGGGCTGGCAGCACAGAACCCGACGTGAGACTCGAACTCACAACCTCGAGATCATGACCTGAGCCGAAGTTGGATGCTTAACCGACTGAGCCATCCAGGCACCCCTGCTCCACAGGTTTATGGTGAGCATTAATGAAACAGTGCATGTGAAGCTGCTGCCCAGTATTTAGTATTTGGTAAGCACTCAATGAAAACTCTCATGATTTTACTCTTTGGTTCAGTCGAATATTTTTGGTAGAATATGTGACTGCTGGGGTCAAAATAAGAAACAGAACTGCTATAAGATCTGATCCCTGCTCTCAGAGAGTTTACAGTGTCTAGATAAGGGTTTAAGACAAAGACTCATCATGAGAAGATGGTTCAAAACAGGTAAGGAAGTTTTAAAAAGACATCTTACACGCAGCGGTAAGAGGTAAGCATGCACTGGTGTTGCTTTGGTGATATTTCACAGAGGATTCAATGAGAGGAGTAGGGGCTTTGGACAGGAGGACAAGGGAGGCATGGGGTGTGCAGACAGGCCCCAGAAATACTGGGAGAAGCAGACGGCCTGGCCCAACCCACCATGGGCACTTGCCAGCTCTGTTACTCGGGCAGGTGGCTAAATTTTTCTGTCTCAGTTTCGTCTTCTGTGAAATGGGGATAATCATAGTACATCCATCACAGAGCTATTGTGATATTAAATGGGAGAAGTTAAATGGGTGATGTGCCTGAACAGGGTGCAGTACAGAGGAAATTCATGATTACCGTTAGTCCAGAGGGGAGGCTAGAAGGGTCTGCAGGGCGGTAACGACGCTGTGGGCGGAGGGACGAGAGACTTGGCAAGAGGGTGGGTGGCACGGGAACAAGGCACTCCTGACCAAGCACCAGCAACTGGGGCTCAGAGCCTGGTAATAACAAGCATGGGGGTTCTCTGAATAGAAATGGGGATGTCAGAAGAACAGGTGCACATCAGAAGCAGGGTGGGTGAGATAATCCAAGTGGAAAGCACTCTGCGCTCTTAGGTACAAAGCTGCCTTCTAATAAATGACGTGATGTAAATAGTGAGCACACACACGTACCGCGTGTGCGATCGTCTACACTGCCCGTGAAGCCTGCCCCGCCGAAGTCGCTAACCACGCTCTGTAGGCCACCAGTCTTTCCGGGGCATCGTCCGAGCTTCGGTAGGTCTTGTGCTCCGACACGGTCACCCTCTGTGGGCTGTCAGCTCCTACAAAGGCGAGCACTGGGCTTTGTTCCCCCACCTGCTGGGCCGCAGGGTAAGCACTCAAAATTCATCATGGGCGTTTTGCACCTCGTGACTTTGAAAGTGATTATGTCCCTCTGTAGGAATGTAGTTATGACAAAATCTGTGCTAAGCAGCCTCAGGGGGCCAGAGAACGGTTACTGAGTCTCTAGGAGTTAATGCAGGGGAATCAGAAAGCTAACTGGGGTGAGGCAGTTCTAAGCACAGGGGTCTGTTCACTTTGTGAAGAAAGTCCACTTTCTGGGAAAGCTTCGTGTTCGTATCTGGCTAACCGCTAACAGAAATGCCTGACACTGAAGACCACGTGTTATTCTGCTGCGTTTCTCAGGGAGCAGACAGGCAGGCACAGCGTGTGGGAGACGAGTTGGCGGGCAACGGTGTCCCATGCCCCACGCCCCCAGCACGAGGAGGAAAAACCTGTCGGGACATGTGTTTGAGGAGCAGTCTCTGCCTGTAGTCCCCGGGCAGGAGCCCAGCTGGTACCAGGCACTTCACGTCCCTCACCGGTTAAGGCCTCAGAGCGCTTCACCAAACTTTTGTGCAACTCAGAACACAATACACCTCCTGGTCACAGACCCTCGGGATTGGTGTGGGCGAAGCCCAGACTGAGCTTTCCTTCCCAAGTAGAGTGCCGGCCCCAGCCTGCTGCTCCCCCCTTCCCCAAGGTAACTCTCAGGCAAACGTCTGGATATGATGATTTCACGGTGCCAGGTAAGCCTCCTGGAGCCCGCCTTACCGTTTTTGGGCCTCAGCTCCGTTCTGTCCTGGTCATCCATGTTATCCAGGATGGCATACCTGGTGTTCTTCCTTATTTCGGTCCTCTCTCGTCTGCAAGGAAGAGGGAAAAGCTCAGGTCAGATTCTCAGGGAACTGGGAACCAGGAACTCAAACACGTGGAGGAATGAAGAGTCCACACTTGTATGAATGATGTGCACACATGGCCAGGTCTGGGTTCAGCGGACTCAAGTGCACCGTGCATCTTGGGGAAACGTAGGAGCAGGACAGCCACCAGCACCCACGTGACTGCAGGCTCCCGGCTGAGCCTCGGGCCAGGCCCCTGGTAGGAATCCTCAGCACCTGTGTGTTTGCACAACAAGCTTTTCTTTGTAATTCTTTACTCAGAAAAACCTGGAGGGGCGTCTGAGTGGCTCAGTCAATTAAGCGTCCGACTCTTGATCTGGGTTCAGGTCATGATCCCAAGGGGTTCCTGAGTTCAAGCCTCCAAGATTAGGCTGACAGTTCGGAGGCTACTTGAGACTCTCCCTTTCCCTCTCTCTCTGCCCTCCCTACTCTCTCTCAGAATAAATAAACTTTAAAAAAAAAAGAAAGAAAGAAAAGAGAGAAAGAAAGAAAGAAAGAAAGAAAGAAAGAAAGAAAGAAAGAAAGA